CATTGATTCTTACAGCAAACCTTTGGGGGACTCCATGGTAAACAGTCCTGTTTTATAGACTGCAACACAGGTGAAGTGTTCAGGACCTGCACTGAGTCACTCAGTTGGCTGGAAGGAAACTTCTGAGTGGGTCCCAGGTCTCCTGAGTCCTGCTAGCACCTAGAAGCTGGGACTTCATTTTGGACACCCAGAGCTCTAGGGTCCCCATTCCTGAATGGGAATAGTTGCTACCTGGGCTTTGGTCACAAGGTCCAAGGCGGGTGTCTATGGCAGTAGAAGACAGACTACTTACAAGAAGGTCCCCAAAGATACAATCCCCACCTAGGGTGCCCTCATACTCCCTCCTTTCTAGCAAGGCACGAAGTCCATCAGTAAAACTCCTTGGAAATGTTGAGAAAGAGAAAGATCAGTTGTCAGGACCACAGGCTGTGTTTGAGAATCAAGTTGGGCAACATTTCTCAACTCTAGTTTTTAGAGGGAACCGTGATTAGTGAAATGCATCTGTCCTTGTGCTACTCAATGCCTTCTTCTTGCTTCTCTCCCTCCAGCTCTTAGGGTGGGTTGTCAGGGCTTGCAGGGTGGCTTTGCAGGTGTCCATTCAAGACCCTCAGAGCTCAGCCCGGGGCCCTTCACTTCAGAGAAGATGGGGCCTTAGAGAGAGGGAGTACCTTGGTCAAGAATACCAAAGGCAGGGGCGCCTGGGTGGTTCAGTCGGTTAAGCGTCCGCCTTCGGCTCAGGTCATGATCTCACAGTTCGTGGGTTCCACCCCGCGTCGGGCTCTGTGCTGACAGCTCAGAACTTGGAGCCTGCTTCGGATTCTGTGCCTCCCGCTCTCTCTGCTCCTCCCCCATTCGCGCTCTGTCTCTGTCTCACAAAAATGAATATACGTTTTAAAAAATTTTTTAAAGAAGACCAAAGGCAGAAAGAGACCAAAACCCAAACCTCCCAACTCCCAGCCTGGGGCACTTAGCACTGGACCACTCACTGGGAGCTTAAAGCACTGGTCCACACGGTGCTGAGGCAAGTGGAGGTATGTACCAGAGTTGGGTGTGTGGGGAACGGGGATCCCCTCTCGTTTTCTGTATGGAGTCTTATCCCTGCTCCCTTGAAGATGATCATTTCTGGATATAGCTCCACTTTGTCCACCACTGTTGCTACCAACTAAAGGGACAGATGGGCTCTGGCAGAGATTCAGGGGTTTCCCCCAGAAAGCCCTTCTTGATTCATAAGCAATGAGACCACTACTGAGGACTGGCTGTGTGCCCCCTCCTCAGTGAAGCCTCCCAAGTTTATGTGTTAGCTGCTGTCACTGCTGCCATTTTCCAGCTCAGCCCAGAGAGGGAAAGGACTCCTCCAAGGTAACGCAGTTGCTGAGTGCCGACTACAGCATCCAAGTCTCACCTTCCACGCTTCAGAGCCCACGATGCGGTGTTTCCCCGTCTTTCCTGAGGAGGCCCATTTCGGAGAACCTTAAATAGTAACCCCCACATTCTAACGGACTTTATAGGAAGTGTGGACTTTGGAAAGCAGAGTAGAGAAGAAGAAAATCCATTCCACTCCCTTTCTGTGGCAAAGAAGCGCCCGTGCCTTGCTGCTTGGCCGATTTTGTGCTTAACCTAACCCAGAGCTCTGTAAGCAGATACAATCTTGGGGGTTGAAAAAGAATAATGTGGGGAGGGGAGTGGGAAGGGACTGTTCCCTGGATTAAGAAACCGCTAAAACCTTTAAATATCCCTTGAACTTTTCTTTTTTTTTCTTTTGGCTCCCTGCGATGTTTGGGTGTTTAGATTCTGTTGCCACGTGTGGGCTGTTTTTAGCTGCCTAGTTCCGTCCCCTCCCGTTTTAACTTTTTCCCCTTCCTTTTGCACATGCCCCAGCATGAAGTTTCCAATTCTTATCTCACTCAGCAAAACATACTAAAGCTGGTCTGAATGTGGATTCCCTCCACTGTTCTCCAGGGGGGAAGTTCAGCAACAGTCAAGTCTCTGCTTAACCCCCTTCCATGGAGAAGTAACACCCTCCCCCCACCAGATAACCCCAGGGGGGGCTTCCTTCTCAGGGGGAGAGGCATTCTTTGCCTTTGTGTAGAGAAGCGTTTTGGTCCGGGGAGCTTTTCTTGTTCCTCTTCTGGATGGTACAGGCTGTACACGCTAGAAATCGGTGGAGTTAACTGAAGTCAGGGTATGGTGAGGACACACAGGACTGAGATATTGATCACTCCTCCAGGGGCACACACCTTGGGGCTCTTCCCTTGCCCGGCTCTTTCCCAGTCCCCCCCCTCCAACGGCAGGCATTTCACAGTTCTCCTGGGGGCTGGGAGCCAGGCAGAAGTAGTTTTTGTTTTCCTTGGATAAGCGTTTCATTCACGGGGTGGATTTACTCCTCTATCAAGATTCTTATCACTTTTAGAGTTCCAGTGGGAGAGCGAGGCAGAGAACGCTAGGCTCACGCTCCGGTGACCAGCTGACAGCATTTTCTATCCAGGGTGACTTGGAGATTCAAAACCAAGAATTATTTGAATGAAACAAGACCAATAAAAGGAACGGAAGGCACGATGATAATAAAAATAAAAATAAATGACGAGGAGCTGTGGACTTCTCAGTCATAATTACCCTTCTCTCCCAAGGACCAAGAAGCTGGGCTGGCTGTGTTTACCCTACGCCCTAAATTGAATTTCCCCGCAAGGACAGGATTAAAACACAAATCTGGCTGGGGTGCATTAAAATGCAAACTGGTTAAAGATTTGTGTAGGCATCTCACGAAGAGAAAAAAAAAGGGGGGGGGGAGTTTCACCTGACACCCTCCATTTTCCTGTTTCACTTTATAATGGTGCAATTTATTCCAGGGCAATAGGTAAGTAGTATATAGATACGTAGAAAATCCCAAATAATTTTCATTTAAATTTACAAGCGTTCTTCCTTCTGGTCTTGCAGCGTTCTAGGGGTTGTGCCGACACGCCCGGGGTTTACCTGCAGGAGGGTGGAGTGTGGGGGTGTGGGGCTGGCGGTGAGGGAGTGTGGGCGTGGGGGTGGAGGGTGGGGCCGGGAGAGCCGTTACCTGGGCGAAAAGTAAAGCAAAAACAACCGCCCCGTGCTTCCCGCGCGACGTAGCTGGAAACCCGGTCAGGTACAGGGCTACATCCTCCAGGATCCTGCGTGGAACCCCTGGGCTCTCAGACCGGCTGGGGGCGGGGGGAACTTCCGAGGCTGGCCTCGGGCGTTGTCTTGGCTCCCGGAATTTTGGCGAGGGTGTGTTGGCTGAGGTTTGGGCTTGAAGGGAGAGGAACCCGGGTGTGGGGGGACCTGCAGTTTCACCTGCAGCTCTGAGGGTCTCTGCCTCAGGCGGCTGGGCAATCAGAGGGTCTGCGGAGACGGACAGATATTCTCCGGGGGTGCAGGACTGTGTGTGTGTAAGCGGGAGTGGGGGAGTGGGGGAGGTGGGGGAGACCCCTCCATCACTGCCAACTGTAACGGCTTTAGGGGACCAGGTGCGGGGGTGGGGCTGACGGCGAGGCCCAGGTTCCAAGACCCTTCAAATTCTTACCTCAAGTTACGAAAGCATGATCTTTGATCACCTCTCTCCCAAGAGGCAGGTGGAAGCAGAGGCTTCTGCCCCTGACCGTGCCCCCACCCCGCCACGCGCGTACGCGGGTCCCCCCTGCCAGGCAAGTTCGAAACTTCGCCGGCCACATGCGCGTCCACATATATTCGTCCTTGGGCAGTTGAGAAGGTCTCTGGTTCTGTCACTCTCGAAGCCGAGACAGTTGGGGTCGGGGAATCGGAAGGCAGAAATTGTTTTTAAGGTTCACGTCCAGTTCTGCGGAAGCCCCAGCTCTAGTCTGAGGCCATAGGACCCACCCTTTCCCGACAACTGGGCTTGAGGGTAGAAGGGATTTCTTTTACGAGACCTCGTTTCAGCCACGGTCAGTGCGTCCCCAGTCCCGGCGGTCCTGTCCCAGCCAATTCCGCTCTCGGCGCAGAAAAACACGTGAAAGACGAAGATGGGTTTTCCCTAAATGTAGCCTAAGAGGGAGGCGACCCCCACCCCCCCGCCCCGGCTCGCGTAGATCAAAGCACCTTCTCTTTCCTCCTAGCCCTGGCCGCGCGGTTTCAGCCCCACTCTTAGCGCCTGTTGCCTCTGATTTTACAGCTCTCTTATCTTTCCATGCTGTGTTCGTTTCGCTGAGAAACTGTCAATTTCAAACTCTTTGTGGTTGTTTAAAAAAAAAAAAAAAAAACACAAAAACCCACTCCGCTCCGTCCTGGCCCTGGCCCGGGAGACGGGTTCTCCACCCGCCGGGAGGCGGTTCCACATGTGCGCTCGTGCGGGGTGCGCCGGGGCTGCGGGCGCACAGTGCCCGCTGAGCGCTGCCCTCCGCGACTGGATTAACGGACGGACTTCTCGCGGGCCCTGCCGTGGCGGTCACCCCCGGCGAGTAACGGTGGGGGCTCACGGTAGGAGTCCCTTGGGCACCTCTCCCACAGCGGCGACTACCACTTCTGACCCTACCCTGCCCTCCATTTGAGAAGGATCTTTTGGCGGGGGAAGGGGTATTTTCCAGAGCCTCCAGAAAATGACCACGCATTTTAGAGAAAGGTCGTGCCCGCTTCCCAGCCTCACCTAGTCTGGGCTGCGGCCAGGCCCCGCCCCTCCATCTCCCCCCATCCCCCAACTTAGCGGAGGGAGAGATGCCAGCGCAGTGGAGTCATGCCGCTGGCTTGGGCACCATTGGCTCATGCCTGGAACACGCAGCGGCGAGTACGCACATCTGGCGGCCAGCCCGGACGGCTCCGGTCCTGATATGGAGAGAGAGGGCGGGCGGGTGTGTGTCCGAGCGCGCGAGGCCGGGAGAGCGCGGCCCTGCGGGCTCCTCCCCGAGCTTGCATCACCAGTGCCCCCCTTCCCTCCCCGCTTTGGCCCCTCCTCCATCCCTCTCCCTGCCCAGCCTAGTTCGGCTGGTTCTCGGGGGAAGCTATTAATAGCATTACGTCAGCCTGGGACTGGTAACCCGGAGTAAACGGGCACACCGCCAGCTGGAGGGCTATAAAAGGGGTGATGCAACGCTCTCCGAGACACAGTCGCACGCAGCGAGGCGCGCAGTGCACAGCGCTCTCCCGGCGCCGCCGCCCGAACCCGAGCCGACCCGCCAGCCCGCGCGCCGGCCGTGAGTCCTCGGGGTTCGCCCGCCCGCCCCGCAGACAGACAGCCCGACCCCGCCCCGACCCTGCCCGCCCTCTGGACCCTGGCCGCCCCGAGTGGAGACCGGAGGTGAGCGCTGGAGCCGAGTGAGTGAGCGCGGCGAGGGTGGCTTGCTTTCATTCCCTCGGCGCCCCTCTAGTGACCAGATCCGCGACCCCTGCGCCCGCCCCCCGACCCGCGCTCCCAGCCTCCGGCTGCGAAGGAACTCTGGCCGAACTTCTGCCAGCCGAGGCTGCTCCACAGCGCTTCGGAAAGTTTCTCGCGAAGAACTTTCTCTTTTGACTTGGGGCGCGAAAGGTTCCCGGCGACGGAGACGTCGGGCTCCGGTGCCTCCACCGGCTCCGGGGCACTGCTCCTCTTGGCCCTCGGCGCTTGCTTACCTCTCCCGGAGCGGGCGTGGGGAGGTGGGTGCGCGGGGGGTGGCCAAGGCTCTCCGCCTCGCTGGCCCCCGCTCATCCTAAGCTCCGAGCCGGGCACCGCCGCTCCCGAGTGCAGCCTTCCCGGGGCCCGCCGAGAGGCACCGAGGCCGGGTGCCGGCGGAAGGGCTGCCCCAGGGGCCGGAGCGAATGAATGGGAAAGGGACCGGCGAGCCTGGGTGCCGGGCGCGGCCGCTGGGGGTCGCCCTGCGCTCCCTGGAGCGCCGGGCCGCGGGACCGCGCCGGAGCCGGGAGCGAAAGTTAGCTGCGACAAGTTTAGAGGTGGCGAGCGCTCGGGTTGCTGTCCCGGGGCGGAAGGCGGAGAGGGCTCCAGGCACAAGCGAGCGTCCAGCCCCTGGGCCTGAGACTTCCTGTCCCAAAGCTCTCTCACACGCTTTCCCTATCCGTGACTCTTCCTCCGGCGGGCCCGCGGATTTCTCTGCTTTTCGCCCGTGGAGACCCACCTCGGAGGAAGCGAGGGTGCGGAGCCCCGTCAGATAATTGAGAGCACGCCTTTGTAGCCTGGTGGTCAGGACTCTGAGCGCTTACACTGCGCCTCGTGTCTTTGAGCCTCAGTATCCCCAGCTGGGAGAAGTGGGCCCCTCCCTCTTGTTTGCAAGCACCAAGTGGTGGTTGACCAGATAACCACTGAGGTTCTGTTCCCTCTGGCAGAACTTCTTCAGATTCCAGTGGTATAACTGAGAGAAAGGGGGCCGGTGAGGAGACCTGGATGATTTGCGGGCGCGGGGCGGCAGGGGGATCGGCGTATCAACAACCCGGGGCGCCACCCGTAAAAATTTCAAAGAAACCAAGAAGGCAAA